AATCTTCCAGGGCAGCTGGTTTGCAGCTGAAGCCTGGACCACAACCCTGCTAGGCACTTTTGCTGTGGCTCCAACTTTGATGGGGATGTTTCCACACATCTCTGATTAACAGCAGCAACAAGCACTTTTGAGCCATGGAGGGGAACCCCAGCGGGAAGAGTGACTGCTCCTCTAACTGCTCCCACAGCCTTGTCTCTCTACAAAATAGGAGAGCAAACTTGCAAATCTCTTCCCTCTGCTGCAGCACATTCCAGCCCTGCAGGGGAGCCAGGCTTTGGAATGAACACACAATGCTTTTGCTCTCCCTTATTTATGGGATAACAGAGCAACTGCTCTGTTTCATGAGACAATAATCAGAGTTCTCAGGTAGGTAAAATCGACCTCAAGTAACTCATTTCTGCAGAGGGAATGTATTAATATATTTCAAAATATAATTTCCCTTTCTCTCTGTGTTGTATTGTGATTACTGGTCAGAACCAACAGAGCCGATGCTGTCCCTCCCTTTTCTTCCTTGCTGCTCAGAGACCCCGTAAATCAGAAAGAAAATTATATTATTTTATTATTATATTATTATATACATATTATATATAATTATAATATAATAATTATATTATAACAATACAATTATTATATTATATTATATTATATTATATTATATTATATTATATTATATTATATTATATTATATTATATTATATTATATTATATTATATTATATTATATTATTTAAACAGCAGAGAGGAGAGACCACATTTCTGCTCCATTTTTTGTGTGAGGTCTGATAGTGTCTCAGGGGCTCCCAGATGGGATAAGAATATAGATAAACAAAAATCCAGCCATATCTAATGCCTTGACTTTAGTCAGACTGGCCATTAATAGGATCCCAGGGTGTTCTCACCCTCCCTTGCAGCAGAGAAATTGAATAACACTCATGGATGTTCTCAACATTAACATTAACTTGTAATTTGGGGGAGTTCAGACCAGGGACTCTCTGCAGCTGGGGTGTTTTGTGTCATGTTGCACAGCTCATGCACCTGAGGACAGGCAACAATTGCGATGGGTTGGCGGGGAAGAAAAGAGTGCTTAGTGGAAAATCCGGGGGTCCTTTAATCTTAACACCAGAATGCTCCCAAACACAGCTGCACACTAAGATCCCAAAAGAAGGATGATTCCAACTTATATAGGCTAGCTTTGAGCTTTCTAGGAACATTCTAACCAATTATGAATGACAATGTAACTGCATTAACATAGTAATGCCCATTATCCAGCATGAAAGAACTTTAACTCTCCCTAACTTGAAAAAGCATCCCCGAATTTAGGCTGTTGATTTCCATGGCTTTGGGTTGATCTTAGCTGTGGCCTGGCCAGACCAGACCACCATGCCTCCAGAGCCATGCACTCCTGTTTTGGGCAGATTCCCACTGCAGGCAGGATGAACATTCTCCAGGGAAGCTACTGCAGTCTCTACGTGAGATCTTCTCCCAGCCCCTGACAGGGTTAAGCATCCAGAGGGTTTACGCCCTGATGGATTCAATATTCTTGTCTCCATGCAGACATAGACAGGGGCTAAGTTAATTGAACTCCCAGAACTGACAAGCTGGGTATTAAAGTCTTTTCAGGATCAAGAAACAGAATTGATACTGTATGACTCTGGGAAAGGAGGGGAAAGAACTTTCCAGGACGTGGTTGTGTTTTTCCAGGTTTCCCAGGCACCCCACCACTCTGCTTAACCCAGGTGAGAGGTGCCTGACTCCCATGATCCAGGTGTACACCCAATCCATTCCTTCAGTCCAGGAAAAGATTGTTGTCTGTGGACCTGGAGAGGTCCTTGAACACAGCCTCCTGTTCCTGGCAGCCATCTCACAACCCCAGCACTGAGAGATGATCCTGGTTAAAGCCCTGTTGGGTTCTTTATACCCATTACTTCAGAATTTTGTCCCTTCAAGAAATTATAATAAAAAAACCTTTCTAACTTCCAGCATCAAGTTATCCATGACCAATTTGTATAATTTGCTCCAAAGACAGCACCATGGTTTGGCTGAAATAGCTCTATTTCTCCCCCAGTCATCATCCCCTTGATGGATTTTTCTGGAGTTATCCCAGTCCTTCACACAGCCTTTTCCAGGCTCACTTAAACAAGCTCAATTCTCATAATCTCCCCTCTAGAATAGGTGTGTCTTTTCCTTAATCCTCCTCCCAGTCTCGCTCTGTACCTGTTCCAGGTTGGGTTCAGCTGCTTTGGGATGAGGTCACAGCCTTTTCCAGTGGAATTAACATCTCCTGAGCTCCAGAAGAGCTTTGTAGAGAGCCTTGGCAAGGCACCATGAATTAAAGCAGCCACCTAAATACATCCCCCCACCCCCAGTCAGGACCTCTGCCACATCATCCTGGTGATTTACACAACTGCACACAAATCCCCAGGTGTAGAGTACTTGTGAGCACTGCCTGAATCTCCCAAGATCCATGTCCAAAACAAACAGGTGGGGATGGAGCATGGAGCAGGTCTTTGTTCACTGATGTTTGAGATCTGCTCCAAAATATTCCTTTTACTGTTCCATGACCCCAGAATCATGGCATGATTTGAGCTGGAAGAGACTTTAAAGCTCTTCTCATTCCCATCCTGTACCATGGGCAGTAACATCTTCCACTATCCCAGGTTGCTCTAAGCCCCATCCAACCTGACCTTAGACACTGCCAGGGATGGAGAATCCACAACCTCTCTGGGAAAACCCTTCCAGTAGCTCCTTGCCTTCCAGGGATGGTCCAACCATTCCCTCCACTGCAGAGCCCAGACCCCTGCAGGGGGAGGGCAAAGCTTTGGCAGAATGGATGAGGAGAAAAGGCTGAAGGTCAGGCAGTGGTTTCAGGATGGCCTGGGAACCCCAGCTGACAGGAGCAGCTCCCAGGTCTCAGCTCTCAAATTCTGCCATGGATGTAACTCCACACCAACAGAAACCTCCCCTCAGAGCTGAGCCTGAGCTGCTCCATGTGGCTCACACCATGGAATTTGGTTTCTGAAGAAGAAACCTTTTACACTCTGAGTCTTAAATATTATTGTTCCCTGTTGAGTGTGGATTAAAAGAGGAAAATAGTGACACTTTTCTCACTGGCTTTTTTGCAGCTCTTCTAAAGGCATAAAAAACCAATAATGAGTCAGTCAAGTACTTTAAGCAGTCAGGCAATGATAAATGAGACCTACTAAAACCCTTCTGTCTTTGCCAAGGGCACTTTGGATTATACTTGAACCTGTTTTAACCTTAGTACTTAACCTTCTTTTCCACAAAGTTGCCTTTGCACGCAACAACCATGATGGAGCTCAAAATAACAAGTCAAAGGAATGGTTCCCTGAGAGGAAAAGGAATATTTGCTTTACAGTTGGGGCTATGGTTTAAGTGTAGCTTACGTGCTTGCAAAATCTCAGAATTTTAAAGGAATGGATATTATAAGGAATATATCCATATTACTAGTCAGGGAGGAAGGAAAGGCATGAAACTCAGCATGAAAGTATTTTTTTATGTCAGCTTGGCATGAAAAATGTGTAGAAAGAATAAAGATAAGCATTATTTCCAGCAATCATGGAATCCCAGAATCACTGAGGTTGGAAAAGATCTCCAGGATCATCAAGTCCACCCTGTGTCCCATCCCCACCTTGTCCCCACCCCAGAGCCCTGAGTGCCACCTCCAGGTGTCCCTTGGACACCTCCAGGGATGGGCACTGCAAACCTCCCTGGGCAGTTCCAAGGCCTGAGCTCCCTTTCCATGGGGAAATTCCTCCACCCTGAGCTCCCCTGGCCCAACCTGAGGCCGTTCCCTCTCCTCCTGTCCCTGTTCCTGGCAGCAGAGCCCGACCCCCCCGGCTGTCCCCTCCTGCCAGGGACTTGTGCAGAGCCACAAGGGCCCCCTGAGCCTCCTCTGCTCCAGGCTGAGCCCCTTTCCCAGCTCCCTCAGCCCCTCCTGGGGCTCCAGCCCCTTCCCAGCTCCCTCAGCCACTGTCTGCAAGAAATGGGCTGCACAAGTGTCATGGTTTTAAAGCAGTAACTAAAAAAACTACTAGAAAACGTACTTATTTCTTGCTGTGAGATATGTATTAGAACAAGAGCAAAACAGGCTTAAAACTTAAAAGGAATAAAGAAAGTTTATTAACAAAACTACAAGAATAAGAACACCAGAATAAACTTCCAGAAAATCCTTTTCTCCCCCACTACTCAACCATTTCCTTGTTCACATGACAACATAGAGACAAAAAAACTTTGGAACTTTGGTGTTTAAAACAGCCCAAATTCCTGCTAGAGTCTTTTCATCAGTCTTTGTAGAGAAACAGAAGTCTTTTTCTGCTAATCTACGGAGTTTCTCACAAGAAAACTATTTCTGTTGTAGCTTTCTATTTTTCTGATGCCAGCTGCCTGAAAATCTGTCATCAGAAATCACTCCTCCCATTTCACATCACTCTGAGGTGTGTATGGCTCAATGAGTCTAGGGGTGCCATTTTAAGGATGAGTTATTCAAAGGCAAAAGTTCTCTTCATCTGTCTCTGTGAGCTTCCCTGGAAAACAGAATTTTTCTCTTTGCCTCAAGCGGCCCCAGATCTTCAACTATTACTTCACTCCTTCTGTTCCAGCACCTCACTGTGTCATAATTACTCCACCTTTTGCTAAAAACCCACACTTTGAACACTCCATTCCTCCCAATATACTCTGTCATGAATTAAAGGAGTTTTTTCAGAACACTATTGTCCATCTCCATAGCTTTAACAGAAAAATATTTCAGCTTATAAAGCATCTCCTTTTCTTTATTGTCTCTGATAGTTTATAAAGTCTCTTTACATGTTGATTACTCTCTTTTTCTCTCTCTGGGTAAAAGCATTAATCTGCAAGTCTCATCTGGGTAATGAAAAGGTTAAAATCTTGCCCAGGCTTTTGTAGATGGTTCTGTGATCTCTGCCGGAGCAGCGGCTGGAGCTGTGTGCGCTGGAAGATTCTTCATGGCTGCTCTGAAGAGTGTGGTCACTGTCTCAGCCCGCCGCAGCTCAAGAGCTTTTTCTTTCTTTCCTGGGCAGTCTGTGGTGAATTCAGTCGCAGCAAAAAGTGCAGCCGAGCCAGGGAGCGGCCTGGCCCGGCCAGAGCCCGGGGCAAGCCCCGCAGGCCCCATCTCCCGGCCGGGAGCCGCGGCAGGCCCAGCCCAGCCCCTGCCCGGGCCGCATGGGCTGGGCCGGGGACGGGGGCCCAGCTGGAGCTCAGTTACCTTTCAGAGCCAGCAAACCAAGAGACAAAGAAATTCCCAGCCTTAGGGCTTAAGGTGCTGTTCACAGCTTGATCTCACTTTTCAATGGTCAAAACTGCTGTCAATTCTTAGAAATGGCCAGCTGTTGGCTAGGAGAAAAACTATCAGCCTCCAGCAGTTTGAACTTCCTTAGGTGTTTCTCTTTGTTTTCTTAAATGTCGATCTATCACAACATGTCAGCGTGGCCCCTTGGGAATGTCCTCTGCTGCTCCCCTTTGCCTCCCTGCATCTCCTCCCCAATCCCCACAGCCCAGGCACTGCTCCCAACCATTCCCCTTCCCCCAAGCCTTTTTCCCTCTCCAAGCGCACACTGAGAGGGCAGAAAACACCATTTTCTGTACACTCAGCTCAGGAGCAGGACACCAAAGTTCTGCTGAAGGGATGTCCAGCTGGGTCTCAGAACCAGGGAATTGTTAAAGTTAGAAAATACCTCTGAGATCACCAATTCCAACCCACAGCACCACCACCATGGTCATTGTCAACCCTGCCTTCAAGTGCCACATCCATAATTTTTTAAACACTTCCAGGGGCAGTTGGTGAGTGCCCTGCCCTGCCTTAGATCCAATGCTTAACAAACTTTTCTGTAAATAAATTTTCCCCAGTTTTCCCTAATATTCAATCTAAACCTCCCCTGGAGCTACTTGGTGCTGTTTTATCTCTTCTCCTCAATATTTTAGGAATGTGAGATGCCCTTTGAGTAGCAAGGATCAAATGCCTAAAACTGGGATTTACTGCACCACTGTCGCAAGAAGTGATACAAACTCATCATCTGCATCTTTGAATCACCATCATCTTTAACAATCAGGTGCCCACACCTTGACTGACAAACATCACATGAATGAGACCAGGGGAGAACCCTAGTACACACCAAAAAGCTGGAATCTCACACACCTGGATGTGCCTGGACTGAAAGAGGAGAGGAATTATTCCAAGTGAGAAGCACTGCAGGGAGATGGAGCTGCTTGGGCACAGCTCAGAGGAGAGGTGAGCCAAAAGGTGTCTCAGCACTAAAGCCACAATGCTGGTTTCTGGTTTTGTTTGGTTTAATGAAAATGTGTCTTCTTTGAAATACAAGTGAGATTACAAGAACATACTTGACTCAGGCATTTAATCCTCCTGTCAGGAAAAAAAAAAAAAAAAGCATGGAAAGACCAGAATACACAAAGGGCTCACAATAACTGTGTTAACAACTGTCAGCTCTTCCCCAGGTCTCAACATTACTTTGCAAATGGGGACTGTACTAACCTGCCTGATTTACAACCAAATTAATGCACAGCACATTTCCCTGCCCCTGGTAACTGAACTGTCTTTGCTTGATCTCCAGAAGTAGTTTGTCACATGAATTTACCTGTGGTAACTTGTGCTTTAATGCCTGGTGTTAGATGGGTTTGAATCATAGGAAGGAAATATGCTGCAGTTAATTGCTCCAACAAACAGCCACGGGCACCCCCAATGGAGGAGTGGTTTAGGCTCAGAAATACCCATCAACATTTAACAACATTCCAAAGTGGAAGGGAGGTGGCCACTTTACCTCAGGATGCTGTTCAGCCTGCAGGCACTCGCAGAAGCTATCTGGGATTTGCAGAGCTGCAGTAGCTGAGGGTGCTCAGGCACTCTGTGTACCTGATTTGAAAATGTAGTAAGAAAGGCTTTCAAAATTCTTTTTGAATGAAGATATCTGTAGAAAAATCTGTTTGGTTTCAATTCCTTCCAACCAGGAATGATGGATTTTCTTGTGTTTGCACAAAATCACAGCCCATGTCATTCTTTGCAGCAGGTTAAAGCAATTCCCTTCCCTTAGTTAAAGTTTAATCTATTTTAATAATAAATGTTTAATAGCAAACATAAACTAGAAAAACAGCCCTTGCCCCAAGAAGCTGACAATTTTATTGCCAGTCCAAAGAGTGAACTGAGAGCCTAGGATTGACAGGGGATTGTGGAGGCTCCAAACTGGGCAGGATTTCCCACCCAGATCTGAGGAGTAGGATGCAAAGTCGGGGTCACTCCATGCATGCAGTGCACCTGCAGCACCGTGGGCCTGCTCCCAGTGCTGGGAATTACTCAGAATTTGAAACAGAAGAATGAATGTAGGTTGTGTTCCTGAGGATTTTGTCTTCTAACTTCTCTCTGCTCTGTCCCAGGTTCCTTAGGACCCCACATCACCATCAGAACAAACCAGGAGTTGACCTGCACACCCAGGACCTGCCTTCACACACACACCTCCCCTGGGATGGCTCCTCGTGTCCCACAGGGAGCACAGCTCTCTGCACCCTGGTTTGATCTTGCTTGTGCTGTGCTGCCAGAGAAGTGTGAGCTGTCTCATTATTGCCAGGCTGCTCCTGGAGAAAGTGGGGCACATGTGTTTGTTGGCCAGCTGGTCCCTGTCAGACACAATGTAAAACACAAGCACTGACCCCGTTTTTCCTCCCTGGGCTCCAGTTTGGGTCTCTCCCAGCGGCCAGCTTTTATGAAACTTGTAGAAATCACATGGTTTTGAAACTCCTCTTCTTTCAAATGGAGGAAAATTGCTAAAGCCTTCTCTTACTTTCTCTTAAAACCATCTCCAGAAAGCTCAAAGTTTGGGCTGTCAGAAGCATCTTGCTCAAACTGCCCTTTGAAAGAGGGGACTAGTTTGAAAGCAGTAAATTAAATCCCCCTTTTCAGGGAAAGCCAGATATGAATATGTAACCTAGGGCTTCCCCTCATTTAACCTCAGATGACACCAGGGTTTGCCTCAAAACCCCTATAAAACAGAACCAGGGTGCATTAGAACCTGCTGACCTACAGGAGCAAGATGTAGAGACAGCACATGATGAAAACTTCCCCAATTTTGCATCATTTTTTTCATTACTTAACTCTGAACCAGATCATCCATTTAATGAGGCATCCCAGGGTTTCAATGTTTTCTTTTGCACTGAGATTTTTATTTTAATTAATTTCATGGAAAATAGAAATGCTCTAAGAAAAAAAAGCATTCATTTTTCACATGGGAAATCTCAGAAGACATTTGCACATTTTTCTGGTATCATGCAGAAACACCATAGAAAAATCCTTTCCCTCTTGATCTTTTTTTCCCTGGAGAGATGCATATGTACAGAGACATCATCACAAGACTGACCTCTGAGGGTCTTCTTGTTCTACCAAGAGATAATGAGGAGAGAATGATTTTTTGCAGGGGTGGATGGAGTTGTGGGGGACCAACAGAGGGATCTCACACTCATTAATGTCTTTAGGAGGCAAACTCCACTGGAGTTCCATAGAACTGGGACTGCTTTGTCAGCCTGGAGCTTGTCTCCTCCCACAGCTTGTCCTGAACTGCCATGTACACCCCAGCACCTCCTCTCTCCACACCTGTCCTGGAATTACAGGCCCCTATGAGGGACTCGTTGGGATTGGCATGGATCAATTGCAAAACTGACAGAAACAAATCCATTTGTTATTCATGTGGGTTTCACAAGTATTTCAGGAGATGCTCCATTGTAATTTAGCATTAGTTAATGGCTATTTGGAGCAAACCTGCAGCATTTGCAAAAGGGATGGGGACTGTAGCATCTGAGGTTAGAGGATGAAAAATGCAGCTCAATCAACAAGGATCAGTTTTAACATCCAGCACAGAAGCTCCTTCTCTCCAGCATGATCTCCACACCCTGGTCATGCTATCCTTGGAAACTGTTCCAAACTTTTACATTAAAATTGGTGTAGATGGGAACATTGTTTGAGAAATGACCACAGAAGCAGTTTTTCCAAAGCCTTATGGGAAAACTTGCTTCTTTTCATAAAAAAAAAAAAAAAATAAAATAAAATAAAATAAAAAAATCTCCAAACAGCAAATGCTTTAAAGGAATAAATTAATATATCAGGGTTGTGTGACTGCTGTACGCCACCAGCAACTCCTGAGCAGAAGAGGACACAACATGTATGTTCTGTGAGATCCTGATCCCCACCCCTACCCCTAATCCCAGCAGTATATCCAAAGAAAAATACCAGGATAATGAACAGAAACTGCACTTATGAGCAGAATTCCAGTTCACCTGTTCACAGAAACACCAAGAAATCTGGTAGTGAATGTCAGCTCCCGTCCAAAGTTCCCTTCAGCTAAACCATCCCATTCCAGATGGCTGAGAGTCCCTCCCATCTCCCAAAACATAATTCCATCCCCCATTCAAGTCAAACAGACAGCCTCTCTGACATCCTGGTTCAGCTTTCCCAGGTTCCTCCGTCACTGGAGAACAGCTGAGGAGTTCATAGCTCTGCTGACACCACATGTGACAGAGCCAGGAGCAGCTCTTCCAAAGCCTTGCAGGTGGCACTGGAAAGGATAGAGACTTTCCTGGATGCCTCAGGATTTACCATCCATTTCAGTGCCAGGGAGCAGTGGAGTGTGGTGTTGGAAGTTTAGATAATCAAGGGTTAAGCTTCTATTAATTCCTCCCACTGCTTATTAACTCTCCTCTGCAATTAATTTAGTACTGACTGTGGCAACTGCAGTGATGTTTTCTGGGCTGTCATTGAGCAACCCCACGTGAATCCTGTCCTGTTCTATCCTCCTGCTGTTCCAGAGCTCGAGCTCATCATTTTTTACTGAGCTGGGAGAAATCTCCTGTCACGGAGCCCTTAAATTACCCCTCTCACAGTAACACAGCTGAATCACCAGAGAGCATTTGCTGGGGTTTATTTATTCTCTTCTCCTGGCCTAAGATTAATGTCCCTCAAACCTTCAGGTGAACCAACAGTTTGAATCACTGTTATGGGATTCTGCCCCTTTCATAAAGTGAAATCCTTGCACGACTCCTCCACTGCACAAGCATGGGACTTCAGAGAGCCTGGAAAACACGGATGGAACAAGAAACCAAAATATGTCTAAATTGGTTGCTTTGATTCTCTTCTTCCAATAATGACAAAACCTTTAAAAAGCAAAATAAATTTTAATAATTTTAAAATTAAATTTAATTTTAAATTACTTTAATTTCATGCCCATCTTCATATTACATTTATATATCAGTGTTTCACCACTGAAACAGCATCATGAAAACTCAATTTTATAGAGCAGCTAAAACTTGGTCCCACTAAAATTTCCATAATTTTTGTACCTCCAGTGGTTTAGTTTGTGGGTTTTAGGTTTTGGCTTGGGATTTTTTTTCATACGAGCAAGGAGGACAGACTCAGCACTATTGGTTTCCCTCAGGAAAATCTCCAATTTCCAAGAAACACACTCTGGAATTGAGATCTGGACAACCCTTGGACTGGCTGAAAGGGAAGCCTACAGACCAGGCATGAGACAAGAGCTTGGAATCCCCTCCTTGTGCAAGGTCAGACCAAGCTGGGGGAGTACCTGAGGAAGAGATGAAATTTGACTCAGTCTTTTTCACTTCTGACTTTCTTTTCAAATTTCAGTCTCTGAGGAAATCACGAAGCAGAACTGGCTCCTCTGACAGGAGCAGACAACTGAGCAGCTCCTTTTGCACATGATAATCCCTGATGGCCCCATTCCCTTGGATAGGCTCTTCTAGGAAATCCAAGTGCAGATTAAACCTCTTTTCATCCATCTCACCCAAATATGAGCAAATATGTGTGCATTTTCCATTACCCTTCACTCCCTCACTTCACGCTCCTTGCCTTAACACACAGGTTAAACCCTTCCTTCCATGGCACAACAGCAACAAATTATCAAAACCATTCAGCTTTTCTTCAAGTAATGGCATGTACTTGGTTGTAAATATTCATGGCTGGGTGGAGATTAGTTCTTGATGGCCCTGAGCACGCTGGTGTCAGTTGTGCTGAGACAACTGTCAGTCTCTTTTACTTCCAAGAGGTGATTTTGTTTTTCTGGTGCAGGTCTCATACATTAATCCATGGCAGATGGAGTCAGACATGACCACCTCATCTATTTTGTTTTCCCTCTTAGCTTTTTGAGCTTCTGGTGCCTGAGAGGTTCCTCATGGATTTCCACAGGTTGGGAAGTCCCAGCAAGCTTCTAGAGGACCATTCAGTTTGCACTCATTCCTCAATGAAGCCAATCTGTTTAAGGCTTTTAAACATCTCAGCAGATGCAGGTGTCAAAATAGACACAGACTTTCACAACCTTGACATTTAGCCACAGACCATAATTTTCTCCCTGTAGAAGATCTGAGTCCTCCCCACTCCCAGCTCTTTCATAACTGTCATCCCCTTGTAAGCAAGAAAGTTTTCCACGGGTCTGTTTTCCCAAAGAGCTCTTCCCATGGAACGCTGCAGGGTCTCATCAGCCCAGTAGGCAGAATGCTTTTTGTATTTTTGAGTCCCATATAGAGATGGTGTAGCTGTGGCAGCAACACAGTCATCTGACACCCTGCTCACACTCACCTTATCATGATAGCTTATCACCTTTATTGCCCTCACCCTGACCACACCTATGTACTCAGAACTCTGCTGCATGGCCAACCTGAGCCTGGCTGGCACTCCAGGCATAAATCCCTGTGACAAATACATTTGGGAAGGCAGAGGAGTGATTTCAGACCCTGCCAGAGGAGATGATATGCATGACCTCTCTGTCCTGCCTGTCCTCAGGAGCTGCCAGGCGCATTTTTTGTCAGCAGGAGCTGAGTGATGGATTTGAGTTATTTGTTTTTTTTTTTTTCAGGGAATCACCATTGTCTGTTTCTAAAGCAAATAGGGATAGTTTCAGGAAATGGGAAAAGACAGGGGTTTGCTCAGAGAAGCTGTGGTGGGCTCATTACGGAATCAGAGCTGTGAATGCCTCAACGCTCAGTGCAGAGGGAGCTGTCAGTAACTCTGCATTTTAAGGCAATTTTTGTCCTTAGGTCTACAATACAAACTTGAACTTGTGCACAGAGTTCACAGAGAGGAAGGTGATCGTTTTCCCAAATTGGCTTTCATTTCTCAGGAAGGTTGAGGGTGAACTGAGCACGAGAGCAGGTCAGAGATGGGCAGAGCCCCTCAGGGTTAGAGCTGTGGTTTCCATCTCTGTTGGTGACACAAACAATGGGATTGAGGGTGCCCTCAGCAAGAATGATGATACAAAGCTGTGTGACACTGGAGGGAAGGGATAGGATCCAGAGGGACCTGGATAGGCTGGAGAGGTGGGAATGTGTAACCCTCACGAAGTCCATCAAGGCCAAGTGCAAGGTCCTGCAAAGATGTTCAGCCCGGAAAAGAGAAGCTCCAGGGAGACGGATCTCCCTTATAGCCCCTTCCAGTGCCTAAAGGGGTCCAAGAGAGATGGAGAGAGACTTTTGAAAAGGGCATGTAGGGACAGGAAAAAGGGGAATGGCTTTAAACTGAAAGAGAGTAAGTTTGGATTGGATATTAGGAAAACATGCTTCCCTGGGAGGGTGGGGAGGCTTCTGGGCACAAGATGATCAGAGAAGCTGTGGCTGCCCACGGATCTCTGGATGTGTCCAAGGCCAGGTTGGATGGGGCTTGGAGCAACCTGGGATAGTGGAAGGTGTCTGCCCATGGCAGGGAGTGGGTCTGGATGATTTTAAGGTCTCTTCCAACCCAAACCATTCCAGGGTTGTATGTTTCTATGAAAAAATTAGATGCTCCAAAAATAGCAAAGATTTAAGACCCAGCAAGTCTGGACCTGCTTTGTGTTATAGAATCACAATTCAACTTGGAAGGGACCTCAAGAGGCCAGAGGCCCTCACTGAAGGCAGACCTGTTTTCTTTTTCAATCAAGTGGGAATTTCTCCTGTTTAAATTCATGACACCTGGTTTAGATTTTTACCCATTTCTGTCCTTGGGGGTCACGGACCTCATAGTCAGAGAACCCCTCAGGGAGGGTTTAGATTAAACCCACAGCAGTCACACCATGATTTTTCACCAGGCATCACCGCACTGGGTCAGATAAACAGAAAGATTCCTTAAGAGGGGACATCTGGGAGGTTGGTTATTATCTGCCAAGAAGACTCTAAGGGACACTTGCATGGGGGTGGACAAGCTATGGACAAGCTATGTTGCTCTACTTTACCGCTCCAGCTGGAAACCTCTCCAGGCTGGGGTTTTTATATATTCTGTGGGTGTGGAGGAGCCTGCCGAGCCTGAGATCCTGGCTCTCCCTTGGAGACAAGATACTTCTCTGTAAGAGAGATACGACGTATCGCTCCCAGGGGTCTTAGATATGTTCAACTGTTGTGCCCCATTGGTGTTCCCCCTGCTGTCCCACCTGGATACAGGTATCTCAGGCTCCCCCCACCCCTCTCCTCCCCTATAAATATCCCAGGTTTCCCCTGTTTGGTGGATTAGCTGCTGCTAGCTCCCTTCGCCGAAGCTCTGCCTGAATAAAGGTTTGTGCTTAGCGGAACGCTGGACCAGCTTTCTCGTCCCTTCCTCCCGTGTCGCCTGCCCGCCGCCGCTGAGCCGAGCTGGAATCACTCGACTGCTCGAAGCCGCTCACACGCGCTTCGGCCCAGCCCTTCTCAGGGCTGCTTCTCCAGAGAAGTCGTGGTGCTCCGGGCTTTCTGTCGCCGCGGCAATATTCCTTGTCTTTCCTGGCCTTTACTTCTAGCTTTGGACATGACTAGACTAAGTCTGGTTCCTGGAGAGAAAGCACAAGTTCATCTGAAATCTTCCTGTGCTTTCACCTTCCACCCACTGCAGACAGAAAACTGTACCCATGAGAACTCATCCAAGGCCAGTTGTCAGGGAGACCCTGTGACATGAACTGTTAGTCACAGAGAGCCACAGGCGAAGGAGGCACCAAGGCATGGTGGCTGGAAGACATCAGATTTCTCCTCTGTTGTTGACAACCTTAGCTCTCCACAGCTTTGAGCACTTCAG